TGCACCAGCTTGCATTCCCAACAACAATGTAAGAGGGTTCCCCTTTCTCCACATCCTCTCCAACATTTGTCATTTCCTGTCTTGTTAATCTTTGCCATTGTAACTGGTGTAAGGAGGTATCTCAGTGTGGTTTTCATTTGAATTTCCCTGATGGCTAATAATGGTGAACATTTTTTCATATGTCTGCTAGCCATTTGTAGGTCTATATTGGAGAAGTGCCTGCTCATTAGGGTAAATTTTCATAATTCACTGCTGTACTTGTGGTTACTGGCTAGATAACGTTGTTTGAGGGAGAGTTTATTGGAATAAGTTGGAAGTTACTCTTAATTAATGGGAGTAATTAGAGAATGGTTTCTTCACTTTCTTTTGTGCTAGTGGCCGTCTGCCAGAAGGATTTCAAGTAGGATTTTACATTTTTTAATTTTCAGAATAAACATGAGAAACATTTCAACAAATTTGTGTTAAAATTTCACTGATAAGGTCAGAAAAATTTTAAAAAGTTACTGTGCTATTAACTGCTCATTTATCTCCCTTAATTACTCCTGATAATTTTGTAGTCATCCTAACTTGTGTGTCCTGGTGTCTCACTTGTAACTGTCTATATTGTATCCTTTCTTATCAGAAGTACATGATGAAAAGAAGAGATTTATAGATAACCTGAGGACAACTAACATCAGGAATATACCTCATGCTATGGACTTCCTTAATGTAAAAGTCTTAACTGGGAACAATAGGTAAGAAGTTCTGGACCAAGAAGTACTGTTTTAATACAAGGCTTTGGCAAGGCTCAGGAAAATACCACTGGGGCAGACTTTGGAATATTGAACCGTGTCTGAGAATTAGTGAGAAAATCAATTCTTTCCAAAGATAATTTTTGTTCAAGTACAAATGTGGACTAGATGTAGAATGTAGGAGATTATTTGTGTATTCTTTCAATGAATGACCTTATTTGTAATCAAATATCATGACATAATATTATAAAGGTAATGATCAATTGTTCATTAGTTGGACATAATTTTTGCAGGTAAATTTTATAGTGTGTTAAAGGGAGAAGTTCATGGAAGCAAAATAAAGGGGAAACCTCTTGCACTGTTGGTGGGAATGCCAACTGGTTCAGTCACTGTGGAAACATATGGAAGTTTCTCAGAAAGTTAAAAACATGATTTAGCTGTTGAACCATGAGGCATTTACCTAGAGAATACAAAAATACTAATTTAAAGTGATGCATGCACCCCAGTGTTTATAAAATGGTTGTCTATAATAGCCAGACTATGGAAATAGAACAAGTGCCCACAGCTGGTGAATGGATAAGGAAGAAGTGGTAAACAAACAATGGAATGTTACTCAGCCATAAAATAACAATGAGGCTTTCCCATTTACAGTGAGGTAGATTGCAGTCATATAGTTGTCAGTAAAGAAATATACCATATATTTCACACATGTGGAATTTAAGAAAGAAACTAGCAAAGGAATGAAAAAGGCTGAGGCAAACCAAGAAACATTCTTTTTTTTTTTCTTTCTTTTTTTTTTAAAGATTTTATTTATTTATTTGACAGAGATCACAAGTAGGCAGAGAGGCAGGCAGAGAGAGAGAGAGAGAGGAGGAAGCAGGCTCCCCGCTAAGCAGAGAGCCCCATGTGGGGCTCGATCCCAGGACCCTGGGATCATGACCCGAGCCGAAAGCAGAGGCTTTAACCCACTAAGCCACCCAGGTGCCCCACCAAATAACATTCTTAAGTACAGAGAACAAACTGATGGTTAACAGAGGGAAGTAAGTAGGAGGAATGGAGAAAATAGGTGATGGGGATTTAGGATGGCACTTGTGAAGAGCAAGAGGTGTTGTATGAAAGTGTTGAATCACTAAATTGTACATCTGAAACTAGTACACTGTATGTTAACTAACTGGAATTTAAAAAACTTGAAAGTATGGGTAAAGTAATGGCCAATGCTGAAGAGTTGCATCAACTATGGGATTGATGATGACTTGTTTCTAAGAATTAAAGGAGTTATAAAAAAGTTCAAGATGAGTATCCACTTAACCTGCCGCTTTAGCTATTCTATGAGAATGTTCTATACCTTACCTTACAGTGTTTCTTCTTTTCCTATCAGGAGGTGATACTTCCATGAAAACACACTTCCGCCCTCCTGGTTTGTAATCGCAAAGAATTGGTATCATCAGACCTCTCATTGGCAGTATTATTCATTCAAGGGTTCTTCACCTCTGATCTCTGGTTCCAGGAATACCCCTTGGAGAAATTACTGTAAGAACACATAAGTGCTCATTTGGTTCAGGAAGGGACACTTTGGTTAGACAGGAGCTAATATTATGCTTTTATTTTTTTTAATTTATTTATTTGTTAGAGTGAGCACAGGCAGACAGAGTGGTAGGCAGAGGCAGAGGGAGAAGCAGGCTCCCTGCCGAGCAAGGCGCCCAATGCAGGACTCGGTCCCAGGATGCTGGGATCATGACCTGAGCTGAAGGCAGCTGCTTAACCAACTGAGCCACCTAGGCGTCCTAATATTATGCTTTTATTAAGGTTAATGAATTTATGGTGATAGCTAGTGGGGACTGAGGTCTATTCAGGTTACATATTGTACTTCCTCCAAGAAGTCCTTAATACTCTATTTAGTAATGATTAATCCTAAGAAAAAAATACTTTATGATTAACGTCTTCACCTATAAGGTTATTCTGGGTTAGGGTTAAGACTTATTGGAGGAAGTGTCTACTCAACAATTTTTTTTAAAGATTTTTATTTATTTATTTGACAGAGATTACAAGTAGGCAGAGGAGATAGGCAGAGAGAGAGGAGGAAGCACGCTCCCTGTCGAGCAGAGAGCCTGATGTGGGGCTCGATCCTCAGACCCTGGGACCATGACCTGAACCGAAAGCAGAGGCTTTAATCCACTGAGCCACCCAGGCGCCCCAACTCAACAATTTTTTGATAGTCAGCTTGAATAATGGGTTAGGATCTAAATCTAAGGATTTATTTCTAAGCTAGAGCTAAGTTAGACCTAAGGATTTAAGATCTAAGTTCCATTATCTCTATATCTTACAGATACCATTTTTCTCACCAAACATATTGAGGTCCATTTGTTATTTTTTGGGAATTTTTTGGCGTTGTTACCCTGTGTACAGAAATGCATGTAGATTATGTCAAATAATTCTGTATGTGAATGAACAATCTAGGGATACAAGCAATCATTCAAATACATAGCTGAACAGAAACATAACATGAGAACTAGAAAGGTATGAGAAGAAAGAATACCAATAATTGGCTTTTTTAAGTTGACAATGTTACATCAGCTTCAGGTGTATCAGTAGTGAGTAGTGATAGTGAGTAGATAATTCTGTGCATTATGTAATGGTCAATACAGTGAGTGTAGTTATCATCTCCAGACTTATTAGAAAATTCCAAAAGTAATTTTGATCCATCTGTTTTTTTCTTCACAATTTAATGGATGTTGCATTTCATTGTACATAATTTTATTAGCTCCTAGTGATAATTATGTGAAAGTATGTTTCTAACTTTTAACCATTCCCCAATGTGTCTCTCAGGTGTTGACTAAACAGAAAAACTGATGTTAATGCTTCTGCCACCAACTTCAAATCCAAAAGACAGTCTTCATAATGTATTGAGACTTCTGTTTCATGTGTTGGAGCGGATACTCCTCGCAGGTCAGAAAAAATGGACTGAGAAAGCTCAAGTTTGAAAATTACCTAGAGTGTCATTGGAGGGAATTGTCACCAGGCATGTTGACTGTTTTCATAATTGACATTGGACTAAATCTCAGGAGCTTGAATGGTGGAGATGTTATTACCCAGAGAGGTTCAGTATGGTGTGATTGAAAGGCTTCATTTCAGTATTCCCATTAGAATAAAGTACATGTATTTATAATTTTCACTTATCACAGGGTAAATTTAAAATTGATGGACAAAAAGTTACCTTTTCCAGATTTCAAAAGGCACAGAAATTTATGAAGGTTAAACTTTTTACTTCTTAAATGCTTTTTTTCTCCTAATTCTACTCTCCAAGATTATCTACAGTTAATGGAGTTTTGTGCTTATACTCTTTGGGTATATTGATGAACAAAATTTATGCTAGTTGTCTTTTGGGTCAATATATTAGCTACAAATTTTCTAGGCAGTTAATATGCTTTATTTAGAAATGATTTTTAACTTCTCTGGCTAATTTGTTGAAAATAGTCGTAGTATTTCCACCTTCTCAGAATTAAGTATACCCAAAATTTACATTCTGAGTCAAAAGTAAAAATTTTCCTCAAATGGTATAGATTGTCCTCATCAATTTTCCTCCCAGTATTTGTTTATGAGATTTCTGTTTTCTTAAATAGTACAAACATTACATTTCAGAGTTTTAATCTTTGATAATGTGGTGTTACCAAAAATTGCTTTTATTCTTTTACTGTTCAGTTCAGTCATCTTCATATATCCTTAAAACTTACTAGTCACTTGTTTTTTCATTTTCCTCTGTTGTTTTTTTTTTTCATTTTCCTCAGAATATTAATGTTTTTGTAATGGTTTCTAAGAGATCATTTATGACTAAGTATGTTAGTATGTTAACCATTTGTCATGCATTGCAAATTACAAACTATATGTTCTCATCACCATTTTACTGTGATGTTTTGGTTGTACAAAAGTTGTGTTTTCAAATATAATGCTCTGCTTTATGCCTTTTGAATTTTGTGTTTTTATTCAGAAATGTGTCCATCACTCTCATGCATTCTTTGTATTCTGTTTTTTGTCAGTCATTTCATTTTTTCCATTAATTGTTACTGTAGTTTTAAACATTACCCAAATTATTTACCTTGACTTAAGCAGTTACCACTTAGCTAAAACCATAGTTACTTAGAAATTCCCACATAGAATCATCTGCATCTCTATTTGTTTGCCTTACTGTCTTTTGAGATTTTAAAATTACTGATGATTTTGTCTATTCCATTGAGATCTATCTCATTTCTCTTCTTTTTTTTTCAGAATATTCCCTCTCTATAGTCACATTTTTTCTGTCAATTGATTCTAAAAATTATTTTGCAAGTTGGAAAAAAAATGCAGTTTTAATTTCATTTGCACCAAATTTAATAGATTAATTAGGAGAGAATAGATGTCTTTAAAAGTGAGTCTTCTATCAATTTGCAAGGTATGTCTGTCTTTTTTTTTTTAACCAAATTGTTGGATAACTGCAGGTGTGATTTTTTAATTCATTCCCAGTCATTTCATAGTTTTGTTAGTGTAGTTATGGGAATAGTACAACTAGTTTATTTTAATAAAGAGCCATTTTTGTTTACTTTCCTAGTGACATTTTGTTAAAATTCCAGAATTTTGCCTTTCTTTCTTAATTCATGGTTCTTATAGAAATATGGAAGCAGAAACAGCCCTCGCTTATTTGACAGTGAATATTAATCTTAATATTTTAAGGTTCATTTACTTACGGGTCATTTTAGGTAACTTTCCTATCCTGGGCATTTATGCAAAATTTGTTGACAGTTTAATAAAATGCTTTGTATTTGTCACTTATTATAGGTGATTATAGGTGATCACACATGCCATCATAATTATCGATTAGGCTAAAAAGTAACTTCCTGAAAATGAACATTCTTGAGCTATACTTTGTGTATGTATGAATGTAGATGTCTATTTGTTGTGCATATGTATCCGTAAATATTTCCCTATTGTTACAATTTTTCTTTGCAATTTCTGAAAATATCCTAAATAAATAGCTTATATTCTGCTTTTGTCAGGGTTTTGTATTTGGTTTACCTGTTCAATCAATATATTTGGAGTATTATTTTTTATCAACTGGAAACCAGAAGTATTAGCAATAATTTTTTTAATTTTTATTTTCAAATAACTTTCAGCTTACAAAAATATATATTGTTCTCTACCTTCCTCTTATATTAACATCTTTCATATGCATTATATAGTTACCTAAACTAGGAAATTGGTATATTCCTGTTAACTGATGTTTTTATAATCCATGATTAAAAGTGGAATCCTACACTGCAGATAGTTGTCATAGTCTCCTTAATGCCCTTTTGCTTGAGGCAGATGCCCAGTTTTCTTTTATTTTCACAATGTTGATGTTTTTCAAGAGTTTACAGCATATTTATTAACATAACTCCATATGGGTTTGTGTGATTTTTGTCATTGAAATTGAGGTTGTGCATAAGATTACTACAGAAATGGTACTACATTCTCATTTCGTCACTAGAAATCACATACTGCTGACATGCCTTGTGAGTAGTGATGTTACTTTGATTACAGTGTTACGTAGCAATTATGTTAGGGAAAAATTATAAATACTGTTATACTTACCTGCAAATTTTAGATTCTTGTTGCTTGTAATAATTAATACACAATGGTGTTTGACAAATTGTGGTTTTTTTTTGACAAAACACTTTTTCTTTTTAGTTTCAGAGGTAGAATTTAGTGGTTTGTCAGTTACATGTACCACCCAGTGCTCATTACATCTCGTGCCCTCCTTAATGCCCATCACCCAGTTACCCCATTCCCCAACCCAGCTCCCTTCCAGCAACACTCAGTTAATTTCTTAGAGTTAAGAGTCTCTTAGAGTTTGTCTCCCACCATGATTTTGTCTTATTTTAATTTTTCCTAACTTCCTCTATGTTAATGTTTTATTTAAGTTACACATACAAGTGAAATCATGATATTTGTGTTTCTTTGACTTTTACTTTGCTTAGCATAACACTTTCTAGTTACGTCCACATTGTTGCCAATCATGAAATTTCAATTTCATTATGGCTGAATAATTTTCCATTGTATATATGTACCACATCTTTATCTGTTCACCTGTTGATGGACATCTGGGCTCTTTCCATGTTTTGGATTTTGTGGACATTGTTGCTATAAACATTGCAGTGTAGGTGTACTTTCAAATCTCTCTGTTTGTATCAATTAGATAAATACCTAATAGTCCTAATAGTCCCATTGCTGGGTCATAGTTCTATTTTTAACTTTGAGGAGCCTCCATACTGTTTTCCAGAGTAGCTGCAACAGCTTGCATTCCCATCAACAGTAGGAACCCTTTTCTCCCCATCCTTGAGAACATCTGTCACTTCCTGACTTGTTAATTTTAGCCATTGTGATGGGAGGTGGTATCTCATTGTGGTTTTGATTTGTATTTCCCTGATGCAGAGGGATTCTGGGCATTTTTTTCATGTTGGCCATTTAACATATCTTATTTGGAAAAATGTCTGTTCATGTCTTCTGCCCATTTCTTGACTGGATTTTTTTGTTTGTTTGGGGTGTTGAGTTTGATAAGTTTTTTTTTTAAGATTTTATTTATTTATTTGACAGACAGAGATCACAAGTAGGCAGAGAAGCAGGCAGAGAGAGAGGAGGAAGCAGGCTCCCTGCTGAGCAGAGAGCCTGCTGCAGGGCTCAATCCCTGGCCCCTGGGATCACGACCTGAGCCAAAGGCAGAGGCTTTAACCCACTGAGCCACCCAGGTGCCCCTAGAAAAGAATTTTTAATAACTATAATATAATATGTCTATTATTGTTATTAAGTAGAATCCTTTAATGAGTTTAAAAATAAATTCTCCTGTAAATGTGTGAGTGGGTCCAAAGATACCATAAGAATTAGAAAGTTTGGATCCAAGCTGGGACCGTGCATTTTTATCTAGGCCATTTTTATCTTATATTTGGTTATTTATAGTAATCTAGTCTTAATATTAAATCTTTTTCTCTCTTTTAATATAGGACATTTTCCCTTGCTTTTTTGTTTCATGTGTTAAATATGTTAAAGATACTTGATATTTTGTAATTCATTTCATTGGGAAGTGAAGACTTAAGACAGGAACTTAATATTTCTGTTTCTTTTATGTTCCTATTGATTTTATCCACTATTTCTGGTGTATTAGGTGCGTTGTTATGACTAATATACATGTTATTTCTACCTGGAGGTTTTCTCTGTCTGTCTCTTTCCTGTATTCTCTGGTACATACCTATGTAACTATCTATAAAAATTACAGAATTATATAGACTATATATAGAATATTATATCATTCTTATATTGTATATAGAATATAGACTATTATATATTCTATATATATATATGTATGTATATGTATATGTATATATAGTATACCTGAGATATATATATCTGTGGTAGACCATAGCAAAAGTATAGTTCAGACTTTTAAATACATGATGGGTGCGTGGAAAGAGGAGTCTCCTATGTACAAAGCACTATAAGTAATTGTGACAGATTCACTATTGTTAAAGGTCTGTATCTCTATCTCTATTAGGGATCATCTTAGTCTTATTAATATGACTGGCTATTGGTGTCCTGACCTCAATTTTCTTTTTTTTTCTTTTCATGTTGAATATTTGACCATTCTGTCAATGTTTCATGATCATTTCTTACATTATGTCGAAAATAGAAGGTGAATATATACTTAGATTTTCTCGTGTCTTATCCTAGAAATAATAATTAAGGCTTACATCACTTTTATAATGTCTTCTCAATGTATTTTTTTTGTATTTCCTCATTTGGGGTCCCATTACTTGTAAAGGATAATCATTATGCTACCTGGTGAAGAAAATATAGTAATAAATCATTATAGTGTATCACAGGGGGATATATAAAGTACTTTGAGGTATTTCTAGATAAAATACTATTCAGGGATGTCTGGGTGGCTCAGTGTGTTAAAGCCTCTGCCTTCTGGTATTAAGCCCTGCATCTCTGCATAGGCAGGGAGGCTGCTTCCCACTCTCTCTCTGCCTACTTGATCTCTGTCAAGTAAAATAAAATCTTTAAAAAAATACTATTCATATGTAATGTGTTTTTAAAATAGTTACATTCAAATCAGCACTTGAATAATCATGCATTCCATTCCACTTGGCTTGTTAATGTATAATTCCTTGAAGCTGTAGCAGCCCTTTTTAAAAAATAATCTGTTCTATTTATATTTGGAAAATATCAGAATACTTGCCTTTTAAAACTATTACATTCCTAGATTCGTCAACTAGTATATGACATCCTCGTCATAGGCTATAATGTCCTCAGTTTGCTGTGATAGCTAGGTGTAAATGTCATACCATATTGGTTTTATTCTTTTGTCATTAAATCATTTTTTGAAAACATTTTATTTATATATTAATTTATTTGAGAGAGAGAGGGAGAGAGGGAGAACAAACACAAGCAGGGGGAGTGGGAGAGGGAAAAGCAAGCTTCTTGCTGAGAAGGACACTGAGATCAGAACCTGAGCTGAAGGCAGATGCTTAATGACCGAGTTATCCTGGTGCCCCTCACTGGTTATTTATTACAGGAATATTTTCAATGGTAGTACAATATAATTCATTTACTATGAGAACAGTATGAATTTTTTTACTTTTTTAAAATAAAAAATTATATTGTAATTTATTTATATTTTATTTATTTGACAGGGATACAGTGAGAGAGGAAACACCAACAGGAAGTGGGGGAGAGGGAGAAGCAGAGGGAGAAGCTCCCCACTGAGCAGGGATCCTGATTTGGGACTCGATTCCAGGGCTCTGGGATCATGACCTGCGCTAAAGGCAGACACTTAACCACTGAGCTACCCAGGGGCCTGAACATAAGAATTTTTAAATTTGAATTCCTCTATAGGTAAGGTACAATGTTAAATTAGTTTCAAGTGTCCACATAGTGATTCAGGAATTCCATGTATCACCTAGCATTCATCACAAGTGCACTCAATTCCTATACCCCCCACATCATTTCTAAGAACCATTACTATTTTTTTTTTCTTTAGAGTTAAGAGCTTTGGTTTCTTTCTTCTGTTTGCTAGTTTGTTTCTTAAATTCCACCTACGAGTGAAAGAATGTGGTATTTGTCTTTTTATGACTGACTTATTTCACTTAATATAGTATTCTCAACCTCGATCTGTGTGGTTGCAAATGACAGTTAAATAATTTATTTATTTGACAGAGAGAGATCACAAGTAGGCAGAGGCAGGCAGAGAGAGAGAGAGGAGGAAGCCGACTCCCTGTTGAGCAGAGAGCCCTATGCGGGGCTCAATCCCAGGACCCCGGGATCATGACCCGAGCCGAAGGCAGAGGCTTTAACCCACTGAGCCACCCAGGCACCCCTAATTATTTTTTATAACTGAGTTACATTCTGTCATATATATGATAT